AAAAATAATCTCTTCAACCAATGGTTCTGGGATAATTAGATATCCACATACAAAAAGATTAATTTAGACCCTTACCTCAAAGCATACACAAAACCACCCCAAAGGGGCTCACAGACCTAAATATAATAGGTAAGTCTACTCCTGGAAGAGCAGGAAATTTATGACCTTGAGTTAAAGATTTATATAGGCAAAAATTTCTTGACGTGATATAAAAAAAAAACATGAACTTTAAAAGGAAATGAAATAAGCTGGGCTTCATCTTATACTTTTGAGCTATATTTGAGCCATTCAGTAAAACCCAACACAAGGGTTGTGTTCACTGAATACACCGAAACCCCTTTGTGTCAGTATGCTTGCTGCTCCTCCTTTGCTCTGGAACAATAAGAGGAATATAACAGCACTGATGCAGTCACTTCCCATACTTGCTGTAACCAATTACTGCAGAACATTGGCTTAAAATGCCACAAATTAATTTACAATTCTAGAAGTCAGAAGCCTGAAATCAATCTCACCTAGCTAACATCTTAAGTGTTAGCAGAACTGGTTCCTTTCAAGGGGTTCTAGGTTCCTTTCAAGAGGTTCTACTTCCTTGCCTTTTCTAGCTTCTAGAGACCACCTACTTGTGTGGCCCACAGCCCTTCCTTCACCTTCTGACATCTGCCTGTATTTTTACTCTGCTTTCCCTCCATGACCCTCCTCCTTCCCTCTCATCGGGACCCATGTGATTACAATGGGTATAACCCCAAAATCCAAAATAAGTACCCCATCTCAAGACATTTATTGTAATCACATCTATAGCATTCCTTTTTTGATGTAACGTATTTATAAGTTCTAGAGGTTAAAACGTAGATATTTGGGGGAGGCTGTTTTTCAGCCCACAATAATAATTAGTAATACCACCAAAAAATATGAATTCTGAAACCCCCTCAATGTATCAGTTCTTCTAGATGATACAATGAACTTGTAAGTGATGGCATTTTGACATATTTAATTTGGGCCTAATAAAATTTTCCATTTTGAAGGATGCATGTATGTGTACAGACTGTCAGATTTGAGAGCTGATGCTGCATTTTACTTTGATACTAAGAAACTAAAAATACCACTAAATGCAAATTACAGATATAAGGATCATGGTGTGAACAAACTATCACATTCTCAGTTTTGAGGAAGGAGTATACTCTCGGGTAATTGTAGGACACCAGCTGGCAGAATGTTTAGAGTGATGTTATTTATTTTTATTTTTGGTTTTCTTAAACATCTGGTCTCTTCTAGTAGATTTTTATGTCAAAGAACTTTAATTTGCTCTTGAGTTCTTGAAATGATCACTCATATCATACTTTAACAATTTCTTCTTTCCTGCTCAATTTTTTTTAAATCCCAGTGCTAGATTTTGTGACTCTCCCCAAGTATAAGAAAGTATTGATTATTTTCCTCAGGTTAACAATTTCAGTGTCAAAGTGAAAAACACTGGATCCACCTTGGAAAAGTGATACATCCAATGGTTGAGAAATTTGATATTTTTAACATCTGTCTCCTGGCATTCTGCTCTATACTTAGGGGTAATTATTATTCCCCAAGGAAAAATAAGTTAATCAATTCACTTTTATTTATATCTTGCTTTGTTCTGAAAAAATCTTTATGAAGATTGTTTTGTTTGTTCACTTTAAAGTGTGCGTTTGGGTCACATACATAAACATCTCAGTGGCATCTTTCAAGTTTCTCCCTGAAATGCTTCAAATCAGTGAGGAAAGTTTCCAGTACTTGTTAGAACCACAGTTTGCACTCTGGTGTCTACAATCCATTTCAGATGGTGGATTGGAGTTGGCATGCCAGCAATAACTAATATTGCAGAGTGCATTGCTGGGTAGCTGCCAGGGACAGAGTGGACTCCCTCTCCTGCCCCTGGCTTGGGTGAACAGGTGCTCTCAGTGGGGTGAATCTATTCAGATAGGTGGTTGGGGAAATCCCACATTGCTCAGGGGTAAACCTCAGCTCAAGATGAAGTACTGTGAGGGTATTGCCTTGGTTCATCGCATGAGGTACTTATAAATAGTAAGCATTATAGTTATCCCCTATTTGCAAATTAGGTCTCCAAGACAAAATGAAAATGATTTCTTTGTTCTCTCAATTCCCTGTCTTCACTTGAACATGTTTAGAAGCATGAATTTAGGGGTGTGTCTGGATTTGAATGCTAGGATGAGAACTAGCTGATTAAAATTGAACAAGTTATTTCCCCAGGCCTCAGTTTCCCCATCTGTAAAATAAAGAGAGTAAAAGTACCTTATAGGTTTGTCACAACATTACCTGAGATAGGGCATGTAGATTACTTGGAATAATGACTGGCACATAGAAAAGAGTAACTAAATCTGAGTCCTTTTTATTATGGGGTTCTCTTTTCTTTGTATTATAATATTTTATATGTGGTTTTCTTGGTGGTTGTTTTTCTCAATTAGAAAGTAAATTCTTTCTCTAGCTTCTTCGTATGACCCTTGCCCTCCCAAGTTTGACTTATTTTTCTTGAAAAAATGGATGATCTCTAGTTTCATCCATTCTCCTACAAATGCCATATTTCACTGGGGGTGGATCTCCTGAAAATCAAAGGGAGATAGTAGAGAAAAGGGATCAAAGGATGGGAAACAGAGAGGGACCGGGGAAGTGCTGGGGAGTGATATTGGCCAAATTATATTGTTATGTATGTATGAATATGCAACCACAAATCCCATTATTATATACACCTATGATGCACCAATAAGAAAAAGTGGAAAAATAAAAGGTACCCAAAAAATCAACAACAAAACAAAAATAAAGGGAGGACCTAATTAAAAAAATTTAAAAAGAAAGCAAACTTTCTGAAGAAAAGAACTCTGCCTTATTCAGAACAGAGCCATACTTCAGTATTTATTCGGTTTTTGATTTACTTTTTCATTTATATTACAAAACATGGTTTTTGTACATATTCTTGAAATAAGATGGTGGCTTCTAGACTAAATAGCAGCATTGTGCAGTGTGCTGATGGCAGGAGCGAAGAGATTCCACAGAAGAAGGAACTGCTCACCTGGTGATGTGCTTTTATTGGCTCCTGCCATTGCTCGTAATGCTTCCCTTGCAGAATGAATTCTCAATTATTACACCCAAAGAACACTGTTTCTTAGTTGGTCTTTCATTAGTTTATGCAGAACTCCTTTTTCAAAACCTGTCCTAAGCAAAAGAAAATAAGATCTGGGACAAACTGCAAAGTAATTAAGGCCTTGTTGAAATAGCTGGATGCCAGAGAATATCTAGAGATCCAGATCGCTATATTGGACTGGTATATACTTAAAGAAGCCACACAAATTAACTAATTAGTTCTTCAAGTAATTGGCTGGTTTTTTCTTTCCCCTAAGGTCAGCAGAAAATTAGAAGAATGTTTTGAGTGTTTGAAAGGAATCAAATTCAGTGCTGATTTATACCCAAGAAAAATGTTGATCCAGGTGTCTGGTTCAGTATATGAGGCCTTTGGGATATCTTGAATACTTTAAGGGAATCTGGTGGCGCTCTGACAAATGTCATTGCATCCTTTATAGTAAGGTATTGTTATTATTATCATTACTATAAAAAAACAGCCCATAAACTCTAAAATGAGCATTAAGGACATGGTAAAGTCATCAGAATTAACTGGATAACTTATAAATTTTTGTTACTGTGAGTCTGTGATCATGTGTGCCTGCAATAACAGTAATATTAATCATTTGTTTATTCTTTACTATGTACTAGATGCTGCACATTTAATATCTCATTTAATATTCATGGCATTTCTGAGAATCATGATTTACACTTGATAGATGAAGGGCCGGGGACACGAGAGGTTAAGTGGCTTGCTCAGTATCACCAAGCTCAGAAGAGGCCTGTGCCTCCTGCAGACAAATCCATGTCAAACTACCTCCAGGATCCTACTCCTCCCTTTAAACCACACAGAGATCCCTGCAGCCCTGACTGCACATGTGGATTTGGAACCCTCTGTATTTCTTGAGCACTCCTTACTTTCAATGCTACACAGTGTAATTACCTAGGGAAATCAAAGTGAAATGATTTGAGTTTTTCAAAAATTATGAGAAGGCATGAGGATGAACAGTCTCCCAAACTCCAAAAAATACCAATGTCACGATACTCAAAGTTGACATGTCTGAAAACACTCTGCTCTCACAGTAACTAAAACTCAATGCTTGATTCAGCAGAAGTAACAGTCGACCTGTTCACTGTGACTTCTATATACCATCTCCCTGTTCTGTGAAAATAGACATCATATCCTTCCTGATTCAAAAGAAATGGGTAAGTGTAGCCATCTTTGTTATTTTTTTCATGAAACATGGGTAGCAAATGTTAGTTCTTCCAGGGATCATAAAGGTCATGAATAACCTTGTTGATTTTAAAGGTGAGGCCCAGAAGAGCCATAGCATGTCCAAAGTCAAAGTGACATTACACACGTGTGCACTTCCACCAAGCAATTCCAGTTACATTATGACTTCCATTCATTCACATAGTCATGTATTTGCTATTCCATAAAAACTGACTAAGTACTGGCTGTGTCACAAACTCTACAAAGTTCTAGATAGTCACGGTCTTACTCTCTAAACATTTCACACCTGGGAAAGGGACTTTGATGAGAAAACAGAATATAATAGCAAACCTGGTGGAAAGGAGTATAAGGTGAAGTGCTGGGTAGTTTGCTGCAGAGGCATCTCACCCAATTACAGAAGATAATGTCAAAACTGGACCTAAAGAATGAGTAGAAGGTAACCAAAAAATGACAACAGCAAATACACGTGTCTCAATACCCAGTGATGGAAACTTTGGCTTAGAAGAGCAAGAATCATTTCATGCTACTGACCCTGAAGCAGATGTAGAAAAGATTCCCCACATCTGCAGTCTTTTGAAATGGTGGCCCAGAGTTACATCATTCATTCTGAGATAAAAGTGAGAAACCCATGTAAGACTAGTTGGATGGATTTAGTTAGACTCACATTTCTAGCAGGCAGGCAGGTGGCTTTGATGAGAACAGATGCTTTCTGTAGGAAGGGCTCAGGTGCAGCATCCTAGGGTTGGTGGATGGAGTTAGTCCCGGCAGTTTTCAGACTCACAGTACTCAAAAGGGAGAGAAAAAGACTCTCACTATGTAACACGTAAATCCCCTTCCCTGGAGCTAGTCTCCCATCCTCAGCATAGTTTGCCAAAATGAATGTCTGCATGTTTATTTCACCCCTTGAAAGAAGGCTGATTCTTACCAACTACATCATCTGAACCCCTTTCTCTCTGGCTTTATATTTAGCTCAGCAAAAGGGAATTATTGCCAGGAGATCAAAGCGTGGGAAGAGAAAGGGTTTTAGAGTATTTTTCTTCCACTTTTACACAACTTTAGCACATGGGTCTCTCTCTAAGAGCAGGGTCTTCTTGCAACCTTCCTCCATAGCTCTCGCTCCCCCAGGGCCACAGGAACACTATTTCTTCCCGGCAGCCTGAAAGTTGGTAATGGTTTCTTGGGGTTGTTCATCTCTGGTGACTGAGCATCTGCTGTTTGTCCCTTGATCTTGCTCACACCTCTGTAGCTAGTTCTTCATTAAAGTCTCTATTTTCTGCCAGGACCCTGACTGGTACAGTGACTCAACAGTGTTAATTCTGCTTTCCAGTTTACTTTGAAGGTGTGGGAACATGTGGTTCAAGGAAAAAAAAAATCCCAGTGGCTTCTGAGGTTTTAAAACAGAACAATTCAGTTTGGTCAAAAATTTGGCCTTCTATTTAAAAAAGACTGAACCCCTATTTTCCAGGTTTTAAAATCCTTCTTGGTTCCATTTTATATAATCATCCACATCTGGATGTTTCATTGTTTACTTCAGTATGAAATTCTCTTCCCAGGCTTTCCCTCTACTTCAGTATCCCAACCCAGCAGAGTACGCAGTACCCTTTTTTTTCCCCTGTCTCATGAAGCTCAGAAGCATGAAGACTTCTGTGCTTACGTCACACCAACTCCTTGTCAAGACCCCAATGTGCATCACCACAAACTGAGTGAAGCCTTTAGTTGTAGCTCATGTCCACAATTCAGCAAAAATCTGTTCTCCTATTTCTTTTTCTATTTATTTATTTTTTGTTAGAGATCTTTAATGTCTTTAGTAATAACAGTTATACATATGTACTTACCTAAACTCTGACCAAGAAATTGAAAAGTGTTTTTTAATTAATTTTTTTACTCCAATTTGTTATATATGACAGTAGAATGCATGACAATTCATATTACACATATAGAGCACAATTTTTCATATCTTTGGTTGTATAAAAAGTATATTCACACCCCTGTGTCTTCAATATATGTACCTCGGTTAATGATGTCCATTCGCATTACACCATCTTTTCTACCCCTCTTCCCCTTCCACTCCTTTGCTCTATCTAGAGTTTATCTAATCCTTCCATGATCCCCCTCCCAACCCCACTATAAATCAACCTCCTTATATCAGTGAATTGTTTTTTTGGGGGGATTGGCTAACTTCACTTAGCATTATATTCTTCAACTTCATCCATTTACCTGCAAATGCCATGATTTTATTCTCTTTTATTGCTGAGTAATATTCCATTGTGTATATATGCCACATTTTTTTTATCCATTCATCTATTGAAGGGCATCTAGGTTGGTTCCACAGTTTAGCTATTGTGCTGCTATAAATATTGATGTGGCTGTGTTCCATAGACTCAAAGATAAAAACAATATGATCATCTCAATAGATGCAGAAAAGCTAAGCCTCAGGCTAACATCATTCTAAATGGAAAAAAGTTGAAAGCATTCCCTCTAAAATCTGGAACAAGACCAGGATTCCCTCTTTCACCATTTCTATTTAACATAGTTCTTAAAACACTGGCTAGAGCAGTTAGACAGACAAAAGAAATTAAAGGGATACACATAGGAAAAGAATAACTCAAATTGGCACTATTTGCTGATGATATAATTCTATACCTAGAAGACTTTAAAAGTTTCACCAGAAAACTTCTAGAACTAATAAATGAATTCAGCAAAGTAGTAGGATACAAAAATCAACACCATAAATCAAATTCATTTCTGTATATTAGTGACAAATCCTCAGAAAGAGAAACTAGGAAAACCACCCCATTTACAATAGCCTCAAAAAAAATTAAAATACTTGGGAATCAACTTAATGAAAGAGGTGAAAGACCTCTAAAATGAAAACTACAACACACTAAAGAAAGAAACTAAAGAAGACCTTAGAAGATAGAAAGATCTCCCCTGTTCTTGGATAAGGAGACTTAATATTGTCAAAATGACTATAATACCAAAAGCACTGTACAGATTCAATGCAATCCCAATGACATTCCTCGTAGAAATATAAAAAGCAATCATGAAATTCATCTGGAAAAATCAGAGACCCAGCATAGCCAAAGCAATCCTTAGCAAGAAGAGAGAAGCTGAGTTCATCACTATTCCAGACCTTAAACTATACTACAGAGCAACAGTAATAAAAACAGCATGGTATTGGCACCAAAATAGACCTGTAGACCAATGGTACAGAATAGAGGACATAGAGACAAACCAACACAATTACATTTATCTCATATTAGACAAAGGCACTAAAAACATGCATTGGAGAAAAGATAGCCTCTTCAACATATGGTGGTGGAAAAACTATAAATCCACATGTAACAAATTAATTAGACCTCTAACTCTCACTAAGCATAAAACTCAACTCAAAGTGGATCAAGGACCTAGGAATTAAACCAGAGATCTTGCACCTATGGAAGAAAATGTAGGCCCAGATCTCCATCATGTTGGATTAGGCTGCAAATTCCTTAATAAGACTCCTATAGTGCAAGAATTAAAATCAAGAATCAATAAATGGAATGGATTCAAACTAAAAGGCTGTTTCTCAACAAGAGAAACACCCAGTGAGGTGAATAGAAAGCCTACAGAATGGAAGCAAATCTTCACCACAAGAACATCAAATAGAGCACTAATCTCTAGGGTATATAAAGCACTCAAAAACCTTAATACCAAAAAAAAAAAAAAAAAAAAGTAACCCAATCAATAAATGGGCCAAGGACCTGAACATAAACTTCTCAGAAGAGGATACACAATCAATCAACATACATTTGAAAACATGTTCAACATCTCTAGCAATTAGAGAAATGCAAATTAAAACTATCAAAGAGTTTATCTCATTCCAGCCAGAATGGCAGCTATTAAGAATACAAACAACAATAAGTGTTGGCGAGGATGTGGGTAAAAGGAACACTTGTACATTGCTGGTGGGACTGCAAATTGGTGCAGCCAATCTGGAAAGCAGTATGGAGATTCCTTGGAAATCTTGGAATGGAACCACCATTTGATCCATCTATCCACTCCTTGGTCTATATCCAAAGAACTTAAAAACAAGCATACTACAGGGACTCAGCCACATCTTCTTCTATTTCTCTATATGACTAGTTATAACCTGCCAATGCCTAGATTACAGGGTTACCTTTGTCCATGCCCCTCTTCCTTCCCTTCACATTCTCCAGTTGATAGTTTTTCCCCGTTTTCTATCTTCTGTCCTTTTCCCATTAGTCCCCATAAACAACTAATCATTAGACACAGAAGATTTCATTGTGTCATGTGATGAGAAACAGGACAGGGAGAGTAGGCGCCAGGGTAATCAAAAATGAGCATGTCGGGTACCTTGCTCTTTCTCCTCAAATAGATCACTACATTTGAATTATTACAGAATATTTATTTTTTGAAGCATTCCCATTTACTAGTTCTAAATGTTTTCTGTATTACATAGGCTGGTTGTTTTTATTCTTATTTCCTAAAAGAGCTGCCCATTCCTTTTTTCAACTTTTCCTTCCATGTGGAGTTCTAAGCACTGAGCTATCTTCTCCATCATCCTACAATTTTTCTCTACTTTCATCATATCTGCATGTGTACTTTAGGTCTCTCTTCTTGCTGCTCCTGCTGTTATAGCTTTATCTAAATAAATTAGTGCTTAGTTATTATTACCATTAAACTCAAACTATAACCTTTCTTAGAATTTCAAGTACATTTCTCAGGAATCCAATTCATTTTACATTTAAAATGCCCGGGTTTATTTCACAATCCAGAAAACACCACATGGAATGACCAAGGATCATCTGGATGTATAAGCCTGTGAGTTTAGGACTTGCATTAGCATTTGGATTCATTACCACAGTGAGAACAAATGACAGATTCCCACTCCAGTAATAACAAGTGAGTTTGTATCATGCTTGCTCCCTTGTTGATGACAATTATAAACTGAACAAAATAGAACCAAGGAAGTTCTTGAAAGCACTCGGAAGAAACCCGGGGTAGGACTGGGGAACACACACTCCTGGGACAGCAGAAGCAACCTAGGTGAGTTCACATTTAGCTGGTTTATTCAAAAGGCATTTTCTAGTCCTTGGAGTTTGGTAAATGGAGCTTGAGGAAAAATTAATACTCTTGTTGGTCTATAGAGAATGAGATTGGAGTCAGGGATTCCAGAAAGGATGGAAATTGAAGAAGAAAAGCCCAGAAAGGAGATAGCCACAGATGGAGTTGCCTCAAAATCTGCATAGAAGCATCCTAAATCCTTGGATAACTCCTAAACTGTGTAGGAAAGCTTGGAGGGAACTCAACAGAAACCAGCAGCCATGAGTTCAAAGAGCTGCACTGATTTTATATCAAGTGCCTGAGGCTGGGAAGAAAGAGATTGAGTTTAGGTTCTGCCACATGAGCAGAGCAGGCAAATAAAAAGCATGTCTAAGCTCATAATAGTCAAAATGCTGAAAACTAAAAAGATTCAATCCTTAAAACATCCACAGAAAAATACATATTATCTTCAGAGGCATAATATCAGCATGAGTGACCTCATTTCAAACAGTAGAAACCAGAAATAATAGAACAGTCTTTTAAAGGCAAGTAAGGGGGGAAAAAAGGATACTGATAAGAATCAAATATCAAGAAAAAATATTCTTCATGAAGAAGAAAATGAGAAAAGATTTACAGACAAATATGTTCTATAGAAATTCGCTATGATCAAATCTATACTATAAAAATGAGTAGGGGCTGGGGCTGTGTGAGGCACTGGGTTTGATCCTCAGCAACACAT